TCGCGTAATATCTTAAACTGTTTCAAGTCTTGAAATTAATTCTAGACTGAATAAATTCTAAATTTAACTTTTCTGCATTATATCCCGGGAGTGACATTATTTCTGACGGTGTCAACTCCTTAGCTCACATTGTACCCTTCTACTATAGGTATCTATCTTGTGACTTTAACCTAGCTGTCTGACAATTAAGGATTTTCTCTTTTTTAAAAATGTCAGTGCGTTTTTTTTTTTACGCTACTAACATCATGCTGTGTTTGGAGATTCTTGAAATTAAGATTCTCAAATTATACTTGTACTGAATATTATTCCGCCTTAAAGTACGACAAGAATTTATCGATCGAATTTACTTGATCGAAAACATGAACTTAACATGAAATCTGCTACAGAATTTAGGAATACATATATTGATTCCATAAATCCTTCAGTCACATAATATTTTCTAGGAAAATCCTTGGCTTAAATAAATAAATTGTATTATTTAAAGTCTGGAATTTTCTCAGTCATTACAGTTTCATAGCCCCCAGAGTTGGTGGCGGGATCTTCAGATAAATATTATATTTACTAGTAAATACGATATTGTATTTACCGGTAAATATAGTGTTAAATGGTTGCCGGAGTTAGTGATCAAATTTTTGGACAGATATGATTTTTACTCGTAAATACGGTATTTACTCGTAAATACAATATTTACTAGTAAATATAGTGTTAAACGGTCGATGGAATCGGTGTCCAAATTTTTAGATAAATATGATATTTGTTAGTAAATACGATATTTACTAGTAAATTTAGTGTTAAATGGTCACCGAAGTCGGTGGCCGGATTTTTGGGTAAATATGATATTTATTAGTAAATACGATATTTATTGTCAAACACGATATTTACTTGTAAATACAGCGTTAAACGGTCACTAGAGTTGGTGGTCGAATATAGTATTTACTAGTAAATACGGTATTAAATGGTAAATGCGATATTTTGCAATAAATACAGCGTTAAACGATCACCAGAAAACAGTCACCGGTCGCCGAAAACGAGCACAAGTTGCTGGAAAATGGTCTCTAGCCGCCGGTCCCGGTCATGGTGGACTTGACTATAATCTATCTGTTTTAAAAAATGTGCTATAATTTACTATTTTTAAAAAAATAGATGTTTAAAGGGGATGAGTGAGGTGAAAAATGAGGTTTAGGAGTATTATTGGATTTTTAATAATGTTTAAAACTTAAAATATCAAATTATGCTATAATTTACTATTTTTTAAAAAATATGTTATAATTTACTAATCACTTTACTAATTATGCTATTTCTCTCTTTATCCCTAAAATTAAAGATAACTAGTTTAAATGCATGAACCAAATGGATCCTTATTCAATCTGAAGTGTTATTTACTATTTTATATCCGACATTATAAGTTTATTAAAAATATGTATAGTGTATTTTGGATTTTTTAACATTGCACACTTAAATGATGGACAAATTGTGGGTATAAAGTGAAATAATTGACCGTTTTTTTTAAAAGTAAATTAGTCATTTAAATGGTCAAAAGTAGTTGTTGACTAGGAGATATATAGACAGGATATGAAACTATATAGATAGGATATGAAACTAACATCATTCAAAAAATACATTTTCTTTAAAAAATAAAAAGAGAGATTCTCTAGTATGCATGGTGTATCAGTAAATCAAATTTTTTTAACCGTTGGATCTGCACATTTTTTTTATTTTTACGTGATTTTATTCAGATCTGGAGGACAGAATATATAACCTACCAGTATGTTAGCGTACTGAAAAATGTCCCAAATAAAAAAGTACACTTTTTGATAAACTTAAAATGCAGGTATAAGATTAGAACCAACCCTTTTAATACAACTACTTATGTTTGGAGAAAACCCACTCAGAAATTCCCCATCATGGTGAAATGAGTATATTGATTTTCTTTGGATAATCTTAACAAATACCTCTTGAAAGTGCACGAGTTAGGATTTTTATCCTTTACTCTTAATTTATAACATTTAGAATTAAATAATTACACTAATAAAATGGTATTTATCAAGAATAAAGGATAAATATCTAGATTCATGCACTTTTTAAGAGTAAATTCTCTATTTTTTTTTTATTTTCTTCTCCTTTCCATGACTCGTGAGTTTTCAAGAATAGGTGGGCTTCAGGTGATTAAAGAAAAAAAAGGGATAACTTTTCCTTAAAAAAAAAAAATCACGAGTTGAATTTTAGAGAGGGCGCCTAAATAATAGTCTAAATCGACATTATTTCATGTATTGAATTTTGGTTAACTAAAAGTAAGGTAAATACCTTACAGTGAATAAATTTGCTTCAATTTGACTAAATCGTTTTATGAAAACTCTTAGGGTCCTTTTGGTAGGAGGGGCCGAATGGTGGAAGGATCTATAAGGTTAGAAGGAAGAGTGTAAAGGATGAAAATGATTATAAGTTTTCTCAAAATTGTTTAGTATGATAGAAAGAAATGATGATGGCTTTTCATTTTTTTGTTTGGTATTAGATGGAAATGGGGAGGGAATGGTTTAGTTTTATTGATAAAATTACCATAGTAATCTTTCGTTTAATTTGTTTTTTTTTTTTTGTGTGTGTGTGTGTGTGTGTGTGTGGTTGAAATCGTTAAATTTGTATTTGTAATTGCATTATATGTTGTTTCAATATATTACACAAATTCTGTTGCTTGGTTATAATTATATACATACATATTTATAATATATATTATTAAATTTAATTTTTATAACAAAACAAGAATATATTCTGATGTTTTCGTGAAAGAAACAGATACAAAAAAGTATCTTTTACATTGTAAATGTATAAAGGTGTACGCACAACATACTTGGTAGTTGGCAGATGATAATAAAAGGAAAAAAAAAGACGTGAATAATGATTAGAATATCACTTGGTTGGAATTTAAAAGTTAACAAGGTCAATATTGGAAAGGCAATAATTTTTTCCCCTCAACTCGGCCCAATCCGTTCATAAATGGGAGGAAAGATTCTGGTGGGCCCAAGGGATTCACAATCCCTAGCATTTTCCCCTCCTCCGACCTTTCAACCTAATCGAAGAAGTTAACTTTGGTTTATGGATTTAGAATTATGATTTAGAATTATTTTTAATTTATATGTATTTTTTATGAGAAAAAATATTATAGCGAATCACGAACCATAATTCAGATCATGACACGAATCCACTAACCAAACGCACTATAACTTTTCACCTTCCACACCTGAATTCCTCCACATCAATCCCTCCACCCTTCAATTTTTACTACCAAACACACTTTTAAGATACAATTGATATGATGGAATGACTATTAGAATAAAACGATAATTCTTAAAACTTAGGCCTCGTTCATTTCACCGATTCGAGTTTTCAGTTTTAAGTTTCTACAGTAAAAAATTCTCAGAAAATGTCACATCAACTTTTTCTGTTACAGTGAAAAGCTCTCAGAAAATGTCACATCTCAGCTCGAATTAAAAACTCGAATCCGCGAAGTGAACGAGGCCTTAGTCATTCTTATAGTTGGACAAAAGAATGACTATTCTTTCGAAATTGCTATTCCACTTGGTGGTTGAATAACAATTCTAAACTGAACTAGCTAAATGACAATGATAGCTTTAGTCATATGAAATCCAAAAAAAGTACCGAGCTCTTTTAGCTAAACATAACATGTACAAGTAAGGGAAAAAGAAAAGCATGGGGCTTTCATATTTGCATATCTATACATTTACTTTAAACACAAACATCTTCTTGGGACAAAAGCTCAACTGTCTTTTTCGTGTTTGGTGTTGAAATACAATTCCACAATGATATCCCGACCACCTCTAAAAAGGCTATTATGGTCATCTTCTAAGTCGTAAAGTTGGGATGTCCCAAATTGCTGTTAGAGTCTTTGGCTGTAGTTTTCTATGTTTGTTTTTAGGTTTGTGATATTTTTGACACGTTCTCGTGATGATATTGCATTTATAACCACATGCTCGACTGGTCCTAAAGAGACCAACAAACTGCCTTGTGTATCGAGAAACCTACTTAACCAATCTTCTAAAGGTGTAATCTCCATTCTTAATTCAAAAAAAAAAAAAAAAAAGTGTAATCTCCAAAGACAAAATGATCTTTGTGTCATCCATTTCATCAGTAAATTGCCAAATAAATATGAGGTTTGGCGCTTTTATCTTTTAATTTTGACAAAATAGTCATGAACTTTTAATTTTATCAAATTATCTCATGAATTTTAAAAGGGTGTTATGCATGTAATTTGACGTGCTCCGTTTCAATATCTGCTCTTCAGATGAGATGTCATGTCATGACATGTTCGAGGGTATTTCTGTTAGCACCATCCAAATTGTAACAACGATCATCAATTTTAGGAATACTCTATGACACTAAAGAAATTCAAGGGGAAAATCAAAATTTAAAAGCAACTCGCCAATTCGCAAAACATTGATGAGGAAAAAGCGCAAAATTAAGTCTATGTGCTGGCCTTTAAAAGAAGAAGCAATTTGTTCTCCGATGAGTTTAGTTTGTAGAGAGTGTTACTTTGCCAAACCACCAAAATTAACAGACGAAATGGTAACCCAATTGAGACACTACTAAAACTTAGATGTTACAACATTTCATAGTCTCTGAAGAACTAAACATGCATGTTTTGTTTCAACACTCATCTCAACAGGGACACAAAAAGAGAGAACCTTCACGAGTTAATTAACAAAGAAGATGAAAATAAAATGACTAGTTCGTGTCAAGAATGTTTAAAACAGCTTAGAACAAGTTACTCTGCAGCTGTTTCTCCATTGTTATTGCCTTGGTCATTGCTTTCTGGTAGAGTTCCTAAATCAGTACGAGCCTCTTTCTCTTCTTGAGAGATTGAAGAATCCGATGAGTTTACCGGCTCATTTTGACTTGCGTTGCTGCTTTCACTCGCATTTGAGGACGCTTCACTCTCCTTCTGTGCATCAGTTTGTTCTCCTTGGCCTGCTCCTTCATTGCCAATTATGTTGCTTTGCTCTCCATTTGTGTTGCCATTCTCGTTCGTATTCTGATTACCATTCTCGTTTGAGTTCTGGCTGGAAACAGTATTTTTGTCTGTGTTTGAGGTTTCCTCTTTATTTTGGGGGACTGCAAAATCAGAAGAATCAGCTGATTCTTTGTGGTCTGCGTTTGCATTGTCCTTTGTGTTCTGCTGACCAGCATTCTCGTTTGCATTCTGGCCTGCATCAGCATTATTATCTTTGTTCTTGCTTTCATCTGCATTGTTATCTTTGTTCAAGGATTCGTTGTTCTCTTGCTGGAATGAAGAACCAGAAGAATCAACTTGTTCCTTTTGGCCAGCATCGTCCTCATTCGTTTTCAGTGTCACTACAATGTCTTTTGTCCCCTCATGTGTTACCTCGGATCTGGAGTTAGTGTTGGACTGTTGGTTCTGAACAGCTTCTGTGTTTTCACTCGTGGCTGACTGTTCTGTATTGCTGTTCGAGTCAGATTCAGAAGTTCCAGAAGTGTCTTTGAATTCTCCATTTCCATTTTCTGTAGTCGTGGAGACGGGTGTTTCCTCAGAATCTTGTTTCTCATTGTTGGTTGGTTCAGAATTCTCAGTTTTCTCTTGCACCGCATTTTGCTGTGTAGACTCGTCTCCCTTAGAATCTGTATTCTCCGCTGTCTCACCGGGGTTTTGCACTTTCTCTGTCTCTTTTTGCTGTGTCGAACCAAGACTCTCTCCAGTGTTGGTGTCCACTTTCTGCTGGTCATCAGAAACTACCGTCGAATCGTGAAAGGATCCATTTCCTGTGTCTGCATGATCACTCCCATTTCCACCATCTTCAGTGCTTGTTGTAGTTTTAATATCACTGTTTTTATTTCCATTTGAAACCGACTCGTTTTGGTTGGTTTCAACTCCACTGTTTGTATTTCTCTCTTGCTCACCCTCACTCTTCTCTTTGTTTTCAAACTGCTTTACCTCATTTGAGTCTTCAGGACCGCGTTGCTCATTTTCCTCTGCTGCACTCTGAGTTTCATGTTCTACAGCACTGGAAGCATCATCCCCCTTATAGTTTTCTTCTCTTGCCTCATTATTTCCATTTCCTCCGTCTTGCACATGATTATCCGACAAAACTGTGTCCTCAATCTTCCTCTCATTCTCTTCCGTTTCTCTGTTCGTTTCCTTACTATCTGTCTCCTTGTTCTCTTCTTTATTATCCACGTTCTGACCTTCCTCTACATTTTCTTTCTCTTCAGTTTTTTCTTCATTCTCCTTCTCTTTGCTCTCCTCATTCGCCTCCTCCTTACTTTCTCCACTCTCACTTTGCTTGTCATTGCTGTCTTCACCCTCTTTGTTTTCGTTTTCACTCTCTTTACCCTCTCCATTCTCCTTCTCTTTCCTCTCTTCACTCTCGTTCTCTTCGTTGACATTGCCCTTGTTCTCTTCACTCTCATTCTGCGTATCAACCGAATCACCTCGATGCTCAGTCCCCTCGTCAGTACTATCTTGAGCATTGTCATTCGTCTCATCATTGCCATCTCCTTTTCCTTCGTTCTCAACCTCTTGAGTCTTGTTTTGGTCCTCGCCGTTCCCGGTTTCCTCTTCCTCCTCCTTGTGCCTCACATCTCTAACAGCGGTTCCGTCCCCTTGAGGGTCGAGATCCTTTCTCCCTAGCTTTAAGATCTCAGTCCCTGTCTTCGCGTTTATGCTGAGCTGCGATTTCTTGTCACTGGACTGCTTCAATTGATAAGCTAGCCAGATGCACACACCCAGCAGAAGACAAAGCTGGACTGCATGCTTCACCTTGAAACCTTTAGATCTCGAGTTCCGACGAGGGGATTGCTTGAACATGATGAACTTGTTGCAGGCTCAGCCTATATATATTGTCTTTTCCAGACACCTGTATTACAGATCAACTCCTATCAAGGCCTCAAATTCAGTTCAAACTTCAAACAGAGAAAATCTAAATAAATTCTGCATTCTCACTAGAGTCTAGAATTTTTTTTTTTTTTTAAAAAAAAAAAGTAATGAGAAAGAAAAAGAAAACCCAACTTTCCCTTGTTCTCAAAAGCAAAATACAGGTGAAATTTACATGAATAGAAATGAAGCAGTGTCTATATTATCAGCTCAGAAGAACCCAGATCAAATTATCTGATATCCATTCTTTTAGGCTCTGAAAAGGCCACTCAAATAGCTAAACAACCTTATATATATGATAAGATGGCAATTTCTATCCCGTTCTAAAGCAACACAATTTCAGAAAACTGATAAAAAGACAAGAAACGACGGAGATCAAAGCAGATCTGAACAAGAAAGAGTCTACACCAAATCATAAAAACAAATATGTTCACACTTAAATCCACATTTGAGAAATTTCCATAGTAGAGAAAAGTAAGTTGCTCTTTAAAAAAAAAAAAGAGTTAATTACCTGTGGAAATTGGAGTCTGATAGAATGATGAGAAAAAAGTGTTTTAAGCTTTTTATCTTGTCGGTCGGTAGAGTTATACTGCGAAAGAACTAAAAAAGAAAGGAAGGAAAGTTGGGTAATGGCTTTGAATTAGAAGTGTGACCCACAAAAAGAAGTGCTTGTGGTACGAGAGAGATGGATCTGAAACAAAAGTATTTGCGAAAGACAAGAGAAGCGAAGTGTCAGCACATTTGCTCAAAGATTGATTTTTTCTTTCTTTTTTTTTTTTGCTTTTTCTTCTGATCTATTTAAAGTAAAGTGGACAGTTTCCCATTAGAACGTGGCTTTACCACGTTTACCAGTACTTTGCGACGTCGTTACTTACGGACACGGACACGATAACATGCCTAAAAAGTTGGTTAATTACGTAATTATACTTTTTAGTTTTAAGGTTAATTTAATTTATGAATTTAAAATTATAGTTCATAATTAATTTTTAAAATTTAAATATTTTATAAGAAAAAAATACTATAACAGAATTAAAAATTATAATTTTAAATTAGAAAAAAATTTTAAAACAAATGTTATCTTAATTTTTTTCATTTAATCCACTATTTTTTTTTTGAATTTAAATAACATTTGTGAATGAATAAAATGGAATGATGAAAATAACTCAATTTATGAAAAACACTTTAAACATAAAAAAATCTAAAAAAATAGAAGTTTTAATTTTATGTCTTCTAAAAGAAAAATATTTTCAGAAAATTTTTTTTTTGTAAGAAACGTATTTCGATTAATTAATTCAGTCTATTTTTTGTTCTTCTTTTAATTTTTTTTATCCCTAAAATACGTTAGTGATTACTAGTTTTTAATAATAGGCAGAAAAATTTAGAAAAAAAAAAAAGAATTAGAAGGTATTTTTTGTAATTATTAAAAAATAGAGTTCAGTTTAATACAAATTATCAAAGGCCAAAGAATCGCCACGTGTTCTCTCGAAGATTTCCATCATATTTCCTAAGTCGGTGCCCCTAACTTCACCCTCGTCATCTTCTTCCTGTTCTTTGCGGTAGAACCAAGGGAAAGTGTTTGAAAAACCTCAAAACCCTAAAACCTCAAATATCAAATTCTCAATGGCGTCGAAGCTGTTCGCTTCCAATCTCCGCCATGCGCTCAAGAGAACCACCGCCTCCGGCGCCGTATTCTCCAATCTCAGAGCCACGTCGACAGCCGCCGCCGTCGCTCCCGAGCCTTTGGAGGAGACGACAGACGGAATCAACATGAAAGGAGTGAGAATATCCGGCCGGCCGCTCTACCTCGATGTGCAGGCAACTTCGCCGGTCGATCCGAGGGTCCTCGACGCGATGATGCCGTTCTACTTGTCGCGGTACGGAAACCCTCACTCCCGTACCCACTTGTACGGATGGGAGGCCGACGAGGCGGTGGAGAACGCGCGCGCGCAGGTCGCCGAGCTCATCGGCGCGTCGCCGAAGGAGATCGTGTTCACCTCCGGCGCCACCGAGTGCAACAACATCGCCGTCAAGGGCGTCATGCATTTCTACAAGGAGAAGAAGCGTCACGTCATCACCACCCAGACCGAGCACAAATGCGTCCTCGATTCGTGCCGCCATCTCCAGCAAGAAGGCTTCGAGATCACCTACCTCCCCGTCGGCTCCGACGGCCTCGTTGACCTAGAGAAGCTGAAATCCTCGATTCGGCCCGATACCGGACTGGTTTCAGTCATGGCGGTGAACAACGAAATCGGCGTGATTCAGCCGATGGAGGAAATCGGGAGAATTTGCAAGGAATTTAATGTTCCTTTCCACACTGATGCTGCTCAGGCCTTGGGGAAGATTCGGATCGATGTTAACAAGTGGAATGTGAGTCTGATGTCTCTCAGCGGACACAAGGTGTACGGGCCGAAAGGTGTCGGGGCTCTTTATATGCGGCGGAGGCCGAGGATTCGCGTCGAGCCGCAGATGAACGGCGGGGGACAGGAGAGGGGGATTCGGAGCGGGACAGTGCCGACGCCGTTGGTCGTCGGCATGGGGGCGGCCTGCGAGCTTGCGAAGAAGGAAATGGCGTACGACGAGAGGTGGATTTCTGAGCTGCAAGAGCGGTTGCTGAACGGAATTCGGGCTAAGCTTGATGGGGTGGTGGTGAACGGGAGCTTGGAGAGGCGCTACGTTGGGAATTTGAACCTGTCGTTTGCGTACGTCGAGGGCGAGAGCCTGCTGATGGGGCTGAAGGAGGTGGCGGTGTCTAGCGGTAGCGCCTGCACGAGCGCGAGCTTGGAGCCCTCCTATGTGTTGAGAGCGTTGGGCGTGGAAGAGGACATGGCGCACACTTCGATTAGGTTCGGAATTGGGAGGTTCACGACGGAGGCGGAAATCGACAGGGCGGTGGAGCTTACGGTTGATCAGGTGGAGAAGTTGAGGGAAATGAGTCCGCTTTATGAGCTTGTGAAGGAAGGGAGAAACCTTAAGGATATAACATGGTCACAGCACTAAAGAATTCGATGAGAGGAATTGTCACAGTGGGACGTTGAATGATGACGAGCCTATTCAAATATGAGCTTGGATAGTGAAGATAGGACCTTTTGTATGGAGCTTTTGCCTAGGGAGTTGCAGAATCTATCGGGGTCTGATACAGGTTTTTGTTTCGTTATCCCTAATCCCTATAGATGTCTTTGGAGAAGTACTCATAGTGATAGTTGCTCTGCGACTTCATTTGCAAACATACATGGTACTTTACAACGCTTCTAGAAATCAGCCAGCTTGATGACAATGATGAAAGAATAATGGGTGTTAGTTTAACTGTTTACACTTAAGATATTGATATATTATATTTCTTGTAGTTTATAACAGATGATGTGCTTTATTGGTGTGTTTATGCACCTTGTTGGTTAAAGTAATGTACATGGAAGTTTTGATCCCTTGAGCATTTACTGAGTAATGAGTTTATTTGTGTACCTTTGTGGTATGTGACCTTGTGTGGCGAGGAGATTGTTTTCGTTGTATTAGCAAACCAAATTTACTTGAGAATTAGGTGATCACTAGATTTTTTTTTTCTTATCTAGTACGGTTGTTAGTTGGGGACACTTTCCTTTCTATTTGGTCTTTATCATCCATCAGTTTCCGCTGTGCTTCTGGACATTGCTCCATGTATTTTCCTGTTAGGATTTGTACTCGATTATGATGGTATTATGCTTCTTTTCTGCTTTGTTGAGATACCTTCCCAACTATTTCAGAAGTGCTCGTTGTGCAAGGAGATGTAAGTTTGGATCTTGGAAAACTGGAAGTTTTGTTGTTTGGATTGTTTCAATTCTGTCCTTTTGGTTTAGCAGTAAGAACAAGCATTATGAAGATCGTCTATTTAGGCTTCGTCTGGCATTGGTTGTGGGTTGTAACCGTGCACTTTATGCTTCTTTCCTTTTTTTAATTCATGGACAAGAAGTGACCGTGCAAAAAGATTCAACAAACCGAAGTCCTACAGGTATTGTCAAAGTTCATAGAGATGATTTATATCATTATATTATTTTGGTACAATAAAGAAGTTTACTCGTTAAATAGAACGAGAATTTTGTTTTGAGTAAGTTTGTCTTTCAAAACTCACAAGGTGTCAAGTTTCTTGTATCTTTTTTATCATCAATTTTCTTCAAGCTCTGATTCAACTCTTTGTGGATGAGTTCAAGTCTACTGTCTTCAATTTGCTGTCCCTCGAAACTCTGTGCATACACCTTATTGTATGTCTGCTTATCTGGAGTGGTAGTGTAGAAGATTTTACAATGCTCTATGATCAATGACTTCTGGTGGTTCTCTGAAATTGAACAGTACTAATGATTTTCTGGATAGATTGTAGAACTTTGAAAATATTTGAGTTTGATACAAAAGCATTATAAAAGTGTGAGCTTGCAGTAGCATCTTGGTCTTTTTTTGAGTAGCAAAACATCAGAAATAGAATGACGCGGGCAATATTTAATTGCTCCAAGCTCTGATTAAAGGGATCATAAACTGTTAAATATCTTATGATTTTGTTTTGTTCTGTTTACTATGGTGCTAGTTTATCAAAAATTACTGTTAGAAATTTCTTTTGTCAACTACGATCCAAACCAAAGATGGTTATCATTTCTTCAGATTACCTTTGTTTTTTGTCTCATTAAACATGTGAACCAGAAGTATCTTAGGCCTAGGTGATTGTGGAGGGACATATTTTTGTATGGTTGTTAGAGCACCATGGGGCTCTTCTGAATTTCGCAAATGTACCAAGCTGATCTACAACTTCAGACTTTCCATAGTGAACGTATTACGTAATTACTTCGGGACAAATTTCTTTTGGGTTTTGCTTTTTTCAAACCTGATGGTGCTTTATCCTATTGATGAAACCAATCTCTTCCAGCGGATAGCTTTCTATTTGGGGAAAAAGAGATTTTTTTATTTGAAAAAAAAGGACTCAACCCCGTTCATTTCATTAGTTTAGTTCAGTTCAACTTAGTTTAAACAATGAGCACAGTTTGAATTGACATTCAATAAACATGTAGTTTGAATTATATTTCCTGTTTGAATTGAGTCTCAACTTAAAATTTAACCCTCTCTTTAAGTTTAATCTCGTTCAAATTATTTTTAAACAGTAAAAAGTGCTCACGTTCTCTACTTTTCATAATTATTAAACACAAATTCAAATTTTATTTCCTGTTCAAATTAAAATTTTAACTATACATTCAAACGTCAATTTAAATTATAATTTAAATTACAGTTTAAATTTTTTTGTTTAAATTAAAATGTTTAAATTAATAAAATTTAAACTAACGAACTAAACATGGATTCAGTAGCTCTTAGAGTGCATGAGATCTGCTGCAAGCTTGATTTATGCGTCTATTTCTTGGACCGAGCAAACCGTTGCTCGTGTCTATGCTTCCTCTTTTTCTCATGCAATAGAAAAACTAGACAAACTAGAGAAATTTGTTAGATCAGACTATCTAACAAAACAAAATTGATAAAATGACTTTTTTCATTTTTTATGAAGAACGATCACTGATTGATTTTTAAAAAAGATTGTCGTTTTTGGTCGTTTCGTAGTATTTTTGTGAATAAAAATTTTTAAAAAATTATTTTATTAATAAAACTTTTTTATTAAGTCACTCTTACAAAGGCTCGGCGACCTTTGCTAAAGTGAGACTGAAAAAAGCTTGGCGGCCGATCTGGAAGTCCCTCCCAAACATGATGATGAAGAAGGAGGAAGCCCTGGTTGCTTACATCTTGGAGAATGCTTCAAATATCGCAGAATGTTTCAATTTATGAATATTACAGGAAATTCCTGTTTTCCTATCGGCCTGAATTTGTCAGTACTCTAAAACTTATTTACTTGCCACGTCTCTGTCTTAGTTTACTTGTATGCTGTGTTTTGTCTCGTGTCCAACGTTCATTGAGATTCTGACCCTTTGATTCTTTATGGCTGTTTCGACCGTGGTTCAACATGAAACCGACTTAATTCTCTATATATATAT